TTCTTGAATTAACTTTTATGAATTGCATAAACTATATATAAGATCTCTCTAACTGATGATCTAGCAGATATGTTAATCGAAGTTTTTAGTGGATGACTAGGTAAGAATATTTCTAGACAGTTCAAGCGTGTAAACTGAACCATTGGTCCCATTCACTACCCATTTTTTGAGTCAAATGTGTCGTCACCCATCTCTACATCAGGGTTGGTTGTATCTTCGTCGGGGGCGCCCATCTCGACGTCAGGGTTAGTGCAGTTGAGTTCTTGTTTAGATGATGCTCCGGTGTGGGGATCCATTCGTCGAACTGCTGAATTGTGAGAAAGAGTTATGATCGAAACATGAAAAAAGAAATAGCGATGGAAAATTTCGACACGACCTTTGCTAAAAGTAAGGCATATTAAGTTCCATAAATTTGACAAAACGGAAACTAATCAACGTTTCGTGAAAACATTGGCTCTCATATTAAGTCCTGCAAAAACGTTATATCAACCGGTGTAGGTATTTGATCGACACCATATAGTTTGTCACCAAGAGTAATAAAAAACATTATATCGACCGGTGTTCGCATTTCATCGAACACCTTCCATTGCTCCAGTGGTGTTTGAGGAGACCAGGTGGTGTCAATATATGTACCTTAGGGGAGGAGAAGGGTCGGACGCATTGTTGGAGGAGAGGGGCTGGCGAACTAGGCCGGTGATGATGTTGGAGGAGAGGGACCGACGATGGTGTCGGAGGAGATCAAGGGGCCAGCGGTGGTGTCGGAGGAGAGGGTACACGATGGTGTTGCCGCTGTGGCACCGACATCAGCGTAGTAGTACACGGGATAGAGTCGGGGGTTGCGTTGCCAGCGTAGCATCGAAGGCAAGCAAGCAGGGCCGACAAGGAATAGGGCACACGACCATGGTGGCGAACTCGGAGAGCGAGCCACATGAGAAGATACCCGAGCGCGATTTGAAACTAGGCAAAACAATGTAAGATAGGGAGAGAGATGATGGAAATATGACCTAGAGGCAATAATAAAATGGTTATTATTATATTTCCTAAATTATGACAAAGGCTTATTATTCATGCTAGAATTGTATTGACCGGAAACTTAAATACATGTGTGGATACATAAACCAATATCGTGCCCATAGTAATCCTCTACTAGACTAGCTCGTTGATCAAAGATGGTTAAGGTTTCCTAATCATAGACATGTGTTGTCATTTGATAACGGGATCACATCATAGGAGAATGATGTGATGCACAAGACCCATCCATTAGCCTAGCATATTGATCGTTCAGTTTTTTGCTATTGCTTTCTTCATGTCAAATACATATTCCTTCGACTATGAGATTATGCAACTCCCATATACCGGAGGAATACCTTGTGTGCTATCAAACGTCACAATGTAAGTGGTTGATCATAAAGATGCTCTACAGGAATCTCCGAAGGTGCTTGTTGAGTTGGCATAGATCGGGATTAGGATTTGTCACTCCGAGTATCGGAGAGGTATCTCTGGGCCCTCTCGATAATACACAACATAAGCTTGCAAGCAAATGACTAAGGAGTTACTTATGAGATGATGTATTACGAAACGAGTAAAGAGTCCTGCCAGTAACGAGATTGAATTAGGTATGAAGATACCAATGATCGAATCTCGGGCAAGTAACATACCGATGGAGAAAGGGAATTACTTATGTTGTCATAACGGTTTGACCAATAAAGATCTTCGTAGAATATGTAGGAGCCAATATGGGCATCCAGGTTCCGCTATTGGTTATTGACTGGAGAGGTGTCCCGGTCATGTCCCCGTAGGTTCTGCACGCTTAACATCCGTTGAAGATATACGTACGGCACACCCGTTGAAGATATACGTACGGCACATCCGTTGAAGGATTTTGCCTACTTGGGGGCGCCTATATATATGTGGGAGGAGCCGTGTGCGGCGCCCCCATCCATTGTTTACACCCCCGGTCATATTTTTGTAGTGCTTAGGTGAAGCCCCGCGGAGATCACTTCACCATCAGCATCGCCACGCTGTCGTGCTGCCGGAACTCATCCAATACCTCGCCATCTTGCTGGATCTAGAAGGCGGACGACGTCACCGAGCTGAACGTGTGCTAAACACGGAGGTGCCGTACGTTCGGTACTTGATCGGTTGGAGCGCGAAGAAGTTCGACTACATCAACAGCATTATCTAACGCTTCCGCTTACGGTCTACAAGGGTACATAGACACACTCTCCCCTCTCGTTGCTATGCATCTCCTTGATAGATATTGTGTGTGCGTAGATTTTTTTGTTTTCCATGCAACGTTTCCCAACAGTGGCATCCAAGCCAGGTCTATGCGTAGATGATATGCACGAGTAGAACACAAAGAGTTGTGGGCGGTGATAGTCATACTGCTTACTACCAACGTCTTATTTTGATTCGGCGGTATTGTGGTATGAAGCGGCCTAGACCAACCTTACATGTCCACGCACATGAGACCGGTTCCACCGACAGACATGCAAATAGTTTTGCATAAAGGTGGCTGGCGGGTGTCTGTTTCTTCCACTTTAATTGAATTGAATTTGACTGCGGCCGGTCCTTGAAAAAGGTTAAAACAGCAAACTTGATAAATCATCCATGTGGTTTTTGCTGTAGGTAAGAACGGTTCTTCCTAGAAGCCTGTAGCAGCCACGTAAAACTTGCAACACCAAAGTAGAGGACGTCTAACTTGTTTTTGCAGGGCATGCTGTGATGTGATATGGTCAAGACATGATATGATATACGTTATTGTATGAGATGATCATGTTTTGTAATTTATCTGCAACCGGCAAGAGCCTTATGGTTGTCTCTTTATTGTATGAAATGCAAACGTCATGTAATTGCTTTACTTTATCACTATTCGTTAGTGATAGTTGTAGAAGCAATAATTGATGAGACGACCACGATGGAACGATGTACATCAAGGTGTCGAGCCGGTATGGTGGACAGATCCATGTCTGATGTCCAGTTGCTGCGACGGAGTGGCCACTCTGGTCGGTCTCTTGGGCCTGAGTGCGTGTCGGGCTCTTCGATTCTCCAGCCTCGTGGTGCCCATGTGCGATTGGGTTAGTTATATATGTTTTTTGTTTTTTTTTATCGCGCTTGCCATGGAGTAGGGGCTGGTGTTATTCTCTGTGCTTAATTCTTTGCTGGTTTGATTGCTTAGGGTCGCCTTCTTTGGTGTCCGAGCCTGCTCTTGATGGTTCTTGCAGGTGGCGGAGGGATGAGGTCCGGCTGGGAAAGCGCCCTGTCGATTCAACTATCGGATAGTGCATTGATTTTGAGATTATTTTTTTTGTTTTGGAGTTGTGGTTTGTTTTCATGATGGTTCTCTTTCTCTCTTCAGGTGCTTCTTTCTGTGAATTCAATCGGGGTGTCGATTCTGCTGCTCCTTCCCGTCGCCTTCCCGTATCGGCCTCTAGGCATTTCTTTGTTTCTTTCTGTATGTTTTTTTTTTGTTAGCAGGTTGTCAAGGTAGACGTGGATTGGGTTGAGTGGTGGGCGTAGTGGTTCGTCTGCATGTCCGGGTTGGTGTCCACCAGGGCGGTTGGTCGTGGTCGACCTTGATACTGTTTACATGGTTTGTCTTATGTTGTTTGTCTAACTGCCAAGGGCATTTTTGGGTTGTACTCTCTCCATTCCAAATTACCTGTCGCATGTATGGATGTATCTAAATGTATTTTAGTTCTAAATACATATATTTCTGCGACGAGTAAATTGGAACGGAGGAAGTATATATCTGTGTTTGTTTGCATGGGCCATGCACGTGAGTGACGTTGTGGTAGCTGTTCATCTGGTTTTGCTACGGGCACCTGAAGCTGTACATGCATGCTTGCTGCATGGGCTTTGTAGGAAATACTTATGTGTGGCTTGCAACATTTTACATATATACTACATAGTTCCTGGAATATGTTTACCTTGATATGGAATTTACCGATGGACTTGAATATTGCTTGGAATACATGAATGGAATATAGTTCATGGAAGCCGGTACATATATGCTGGAAACAGTATTTATTAATGCTGGAATATTTATTGTACTAAATGTATATTTGCCCGGGCACAACATATTATGGAAAGCCAGATTGTTCGTGGTTTTGGCTCCATGAATTGGTAAAGCCTGTGAATTTGAATTGTAATTCAAATTCAGCGTGCGACTCACACGTACGTGCTTGTGGGACAGTTTGCAGATGAAACTCCTTGATGGTTACTAATGATCATGGTTGGTTAAGTTAACCTGGAGTCTTCGTTTAAACAGATTTTATCTGGACATTTATCTGCAGTTTATACAGTTTGAAATTAACTGGAATAGCACTATATAAAGATCCCTAACCCCTAGCCTCAAAGGATCATTGTGAGCGGAACCACGGAAAAGGATCGAGGAATAGGGGTTAGACCGTGTGCGTATATATCTTTCATTGGCACCAGAGCCGATTAAGGGTTTGACGATTTGTTTAATCGTCGGATCAATTACGATCTGGACTCCGCTGCGTACTCTGCTTATCCTTTACAAAAAGAAAAGGGAAAGAGGGAGGCCCGTACGTACAAGTCAACCTAGATTAGATCGCTCGATTCCTCTGGTCCAGCGCCGCCGCTTTGCTCGATTCCGCTCGCCCAGCGCCGCCGCTTCGTCCGACCTCCACCAAATCCACGCCGTCGCCTCCAGGCCAAGCCCCAGCTGCGCCTCCGCCTCCACCTCCCCATCCACTTCGGGCCGAGCCTGCCACCGCCCGTGAGCGGCTCCTCCCCGACGTTCGCGCCGCCCCTCATCAATTTTCGCCCCGCTCCCGCCGCGTCCGTCGACTTCGTTCCCTGCGCCTCCATAGCGCTCCTTCGAAGGAAGCGGATACATCAATCATCGCCCCGACCAACTCTCGCCGGCCTGCTTCGCGTACAGCGGCAAGGACCTACATCGACAACTGTCGGCCACGACGACAGGAACTTGAAGGTAACAGAGGAAGCAACTAATCGTTGGATATTGAATTTCAATGGCTTCCAATGGTGTCTTCGCTGAATTACTCCGTGCCTACAAACTTGATGGAACAAACTACACGGTTTGGAAAAGGAAGATTATGTTCTTGCTTACGGCTGAGAATATAGATTATGTTTCTGAGACCGGGGCGCCTAATGAGCCAGCAGAGGATGCTACAGATGAAGACAAACAGGAATACAATGATGAACTGAAGCAATGGACCAAGGACAACAAGACTGCCAGAGTTTATATTCTTGGCTCGATGACTGATTCGTTGGCTGCGGAATATGAGTCGGATAAAACGGCCTGCGGAATAATGCTCAGGCTGGAACAAGATTTTGGAGAAGTTTCCCTTGTGAAGGTGCTTAGCCTTGTGAATAAATTTCTGACATCAAAGATGGGTGATAAAACAGTCAATGAACACTTCAACAAGCTCTGTGTCTTGGCGGAAGAGTTAAAAACTGCTGGCTATCCGTTCCAGGAGGAAGTCCAAGTCATGGTTGTCCTGAACTCTTTACCACCATCATGGGAACAATTCAAGATTTCTTTTTGTCATTCAGAGCGCACACTCAATATGAGGAACCTGAGGCAACACTTGCTGATGGAGGAGGACCGCAGGCTCAACTCAGGAAAAGATAAAGCTTTTTATCAGCCAGAACTTCACCTTGGTGAGTACAAGAATAGTGGGAATCGGAGGAACTGGAATAAGAAAGGAGGACCAGACCTAAGGGACAAGATCAATTACAAACGTGATAGGGATCAAAGAAACTACAGAGATGACAGGAGGGACAGGGGGCAAAGCAACAACAACAACTCTTTTCACAAGATTGACAAGAGGAACTACAAGTGCCATAATTGTGGTAATACAGGCCACTTCAGGTCAGAATGCACCAAGAAGAGGAAGCCGAATAGCGAAAGGAATAATTTTCACAAGGATGACAGCCGCAAGGGGAATCAATCCCCTGAAGGTATTACCGATGTTTATGTTTGCACTGAATCCTTATTTACTACTACTTTTCAGAATAGTTGGGTAGTAGATTCTGGTGCAACTTCACACATAGCTAGAGAACTTAGCTCCTTTGCCACACTCAAAACAATTCCAAAAGGAACAAGACATGTCTATTTAGGAACTCAAGCTAAAGCAGACATACTAGGAATTGGAAACTATGTGCTTAAACTCCCTGATGGAGGAAACTTAGTGTTGGAAAATGCACTTTATTCACCCAATATGAGAAGGAATCTTGTTTCAGTGTCCAAGCTAGAGTCAATTGGATATAAAATTGTCTTTGCCGACGGGAAGGTGAAGATTATCTTAAATGGAAGATTAGTACATTCAGGCGATAGACATGATGGTCTCTATTTTCTAAATGACATCATGGAAAATAATTGCTTAGTAGGCGAAGATAACTCCGTTGTGAGGACTATAAATGGACACAATAATTGTTCTGAATCTTACTTGTGGCATTTGCGACTTGGACATATATCCAAGAACAGGATTAAGAGACTTATTAGTTCTGGAATTTTGAACTTTAAGTGGGAGGATTATGGTATTTGTGAAGCATGTATTATGGGTAAAATGACTAGGTCGCCTTTTCCCAAAGCAAGTAGATCAACAGAACAGCTTGCCATCGTTCACTCTGACATTTGTGGGGAATTTTCCACACCCACTTTGGGAGGGCAGAAAATCTACTTTATCACTTTCTTAGATGACTATTCAAGATACGGTTATGTGTATTTGCTTAAACACAAATCGGAAGGGTTTGATGCTTTTAAAGTGTTCAAAGCGGAAGTGGAAAATCAGCTAAACAAGAAAATTAAAATACTTAGAACTGACCGTGGTGGTGAATACACGTCAGGAATACTAGATGATTTCTGCAAAGAACATGGCATTATTCATCACTATACCTTGCCATATACTCCACAACAGAATGGAGTGGCGGAAAGAAGGAATAGGACTTTAATGGATATGGTTAGGTCTATGATGGCTTATTCTGACTTGCCGTTGTCTTTTTGGGGAGAGGCACTTCACACTGCTGTATATTTATTGAATCACTCACCTTCTAAAGCTGTAACGGTAACACCCTATGAGCTTTGGAAGGGAAGGAAGCCCTCACTTCGCCATTTGGCGGTTTGGGGGTGTAATGCTCAAATAAGGATACCTAGCCAGTTGCGCACCAAACTACAATCTAAAAGTACCCCAGGAATTTTTATTGGTTATGCATCAGGTTCTAATGGTTACCGTTTTTGGGATCCTCAAAGAAAGAAATTGATTGAAAGTGGAGATGCAGTTTTTCTTGATCAGGATACACCTCGCCGTGCTAAACGAGCTAGGGTGGAATTATTAGTAGAACCTGAAGATATCTCTTTACCTGAAACTGAACCTCTAGTTCAGGAAAATAATGATGCTAGTCAGTCTACTAACTCTATTTCGAATAGCATGCCTAGGAGAAGTGGGAGGATTACACAACCACCTGCATATTTAGATGAGTATTTTGTTTTTCTGGGGGAAGTGCACTCTAAAATTCAGAACTTAGAGGAAGAACCAAAATCATTCAAAGCTGCATTGGCAAGTCCTGAATCAAATCTTTGGATGGAAGCCATGCAGGAAGAATTAAACTCTATGAGGAAAAATAATGTTTGGGAATTAGTTGAATTACCAAACAATCGAAAGTCTATTGGTTCTAAATGGATTTTTAAAAGGAAACTGAATGCGACTGGTCAAGTGGATAAATATAAAGCAAGGCTCGTTGCTAAAGGATTTACACAAATGGAAGGAGTTGATTTTGTAGAAACCTTTTCTCCCGTTGCTAAATTTACCTCTATACGGATCATTAGTGCATTAACCGCTTATTATGATCTGGAATTGCATCAAATGGATGTTAAAACATCATTCTTAAATGGAATGTTGGAAGAAGAAATATACATGAACAAACCTGAAGGTTTTGTGGAAAGGGGGAATGAAGGGAAGGTCTGTAAATTAAACAAGTCCATATATGGTCTTAAACAAGCCTCACGCCAGTGGTATATTCTTTTCGATAATGCAATCACGTCATATGGTTTTTCAATGACGGAAGGCGACCATTGTATCTATTTTAAGATTATGGGAAATAAATTTGTATTGTTATCTCTTTATGTTGATGATATTCTCATTGCTTCAAATGATAAATCTACACTGATGGAAGTTAAAACCTGGTTATCCTCTAAATTTGACATGAAGGATATGGGGGAAGCTTCCTATGTTCTGGGAGTGGAAATACGTAGAGATAGAAGGAAGAGAATGTTGGGTTTGTCTCAAAAGGCATGTCTCAATAATGTACTTCAGAGATTCTCTATGGAAAATTGCAAGCCTGTTAAAGTACCTATTCTTAGGGGAACTAAACTTAGTGAGGAAATGTGTGCTAAAACTCCTGAGGAAAGGAAACAAATGAGCAATATTCCTTATTCATCTGCATTGGGTTCTTTAATGTATGCTATGCTATTTACAAGACCTGATATTTGCCATGTCGTGGGTTTGTTGAGTAGATATCAAGTGAACCCTGGACCTGAGCATTGGAAACAGATTAGGAACACTTTGCGTTATGTCAAAGGAACTATGGACTATTTTCTGTGTTTTAATGGACACAATCTTCAGCTGCAGGGGTTTACTGATGCTGATTGGCAAGGGGATCTTGATGACCGGAAATCAACTTCTGGTTATCTGTTTACACTAGCAGGAGGAGCTATTTCTTGGAGTAGCAAGAAGCAAGATTCTGTAGCACTTTCATCTATGGAGGCTGAATATATTGCAGCGTCGGAAGCTGTGAAAGAAGGTGTATGGTTAAAGGGGTTTCTTGCATCTCTCGTGGTGGTGGAAAGCGCTTCATATCCTGTTACTATTTTCTGTGATAACCAGGTGGCAATCAAGGTCTCAAAGGATCCCAAATTTCATAGCAAAACCAAACATATTGAGGGAAGATATCACTACATTCGTGACGTCGTTAATAGATTAAAGACAGTTCGTTTAGATTATTTACCTAGTGTGGACATGGTTGCTGATCCACTGACTAAACCTCTTAGTCAGGAAGTATTTTGTAAACATGTTTGCAACATGGGTCTTCGTTTTTGGAATTAGAATGTTTTAGCCAAGTGGGAGATGTAGGAAATACTTATGTGTGGCTTGCAACATTTTACATATATACTACATAGTTCCTGGAATATGTTTACCTTGATATGGAATTTACCGATGGACTTGAATATTGCTTGGAATACATGAATGGAATATAGTTCATGGAAGCCGGTACATATATGCTGGAAACAGTATTTATTAATGCTGGAATATTTATTGTACTAAATGTATATTTGCCCGGGCACAGCATATTATGGAAAGCCAGGTTGTTCGTGGTTTTGGCTCCATGAATTGGTAAAGCCTGTGAATTTGAATTGTAATTCAAATTCAGCGTGCGACTCACACGTACGTGCTTGTGGGACAGTTTGCAGATGAAACTCCTTGATGGTTACTAATGATCGTGGTTGGTTAAGTTAACCTGGAGTCTTCGTTTAAACAGATTTTATCTGGACATTTATCTGCAGTTTATACAGTTTGAAATTAACTGGAATAGCACTATATAAAGGTCCCTAACCCCTAGCCTCAAAGGATCATTGTGAGCGGAACCACGAAAAAGGATCGAGGAATAGGGGTTAGACCGTGTGCGTATATTTCTTTCAGGCTTCGCGCTTGGTCCTTGGTCGACGTGGTCGTGTTTGTCTGCATGGGTCATGCATGTGATCTACGTGGTCGAGGTTGGCCGCCTGGTTTTTCCTATGGGCAGGATTATTTACTTCATGGGCTGTAGCATATTGTGCATTGTATCAACACCGTAGTAACACTGTACCAGCTTGGGGCCCTGGGCTTGGGCCATTTACTCTGTCGTGGGAACCTGATATATCTGTAGTGCTTACTAGAGTTGGGGTTCAGGCAGGAGTATCCACATATGCATGCTTAGAGAACAGCCACTACAGATCCAACAAGTAATCTTGTTGAATCTGCAGTCTATTTATTGTTAAGCAAAAAAAGGAAGGGGGTGATTAAGTGGTTTTGCTTGAGATCAACAACGTGTCAAACAAATCACTCTACCAACGGTACAACTATGAGGTAGGTCGCAGCAAACAGTCTGGAAGAAAGAGAGGTTCGTTGCTTCATTTGTGTTTTTGTTCATATCTTTTATTTTTTCCTTTCTTTTTTGTTCGCTTTCATTGGTGCTTGCTGATGTGGTCTATGTGATGCAATGCGTGTGACTGAGCTTCCTCTTTCGAAGGATGTTGTTGCCCTACTCAAGAGTATGGACTTGTGTGCTTATTTATTCATTTTTTTATTGTTAATTCTTTCTTATTCCTGTGGTGTTGTGTGATGCAGCTGTTTACAGGGTACGTTTGCTTGGATGCTTAACGGCGGATAGTATATGACGCTTGGGAAAATTACAGCGCATCTACTCAGGCAATGGTTGCCACTTACCACATTTGTGCTAGCAGTTCCATGGGTCATCGTCTCTTATGTTTGCTATATATTTGTGTGAGGTCTCTCACAAGATTCATCTACTTCAGGGCTCAAACTGCAAAGGCACAAGTCATGAGCACCAATAGTTCCGTCAAGAATTTCCTACCGGGAAAACAATCAAGTAGGAAAAGTGGAAAGGGTTCTCCAAGTTCTACTACGAGTGGCACCTGCACAGATATGGTATGCATCTATCTTACTACCATATTCTTCTGGTTGGGGGGCATTTTCTACTGACAAATAATATGGTGAATATCTTGAGCATATGCGTGCAGCAAGATGATGACCTATTGGTGTATATATCAAGGCGTACGATTCTTGAAGCGGTTGGCTCAGCAATAAAGCAAGATGTTCAAGGATATCTTCACTGTGATTA